CCCACACACGCTTCACTGTGAATCTCAACAACGACCCACTAACCTGCAACCGTGACTTGTGCCCTTGGGCATACTCTTCTCGTTGAGTTGCACAGCATTCAGACAGAATCATAATGAGATGAGTTTGCACATAACAGTGAACGAACCTTTGTAATCAGGCCAGTGATCCTGAAGTGGCATAAGCGGCAGTTTTTCTCGAAATACGTCAACTTCGTTGAGAAATAGCAAGAAGGGAGTTTTTTGGAATTTCGGCTCCTTGTTGATTTTCTCCAACAGCGCCAGTGCATCTTGAAGGCGATTCTGAAATAAGGCGAACGCACCGTCTTGAAGGAAATCTGTTAACCCTTTGACGACAATGCGGATTTGCACGTAGCTTGCTCGTGGGACCACGCCTCTTTTTGGCGCGCCCAACTCTCGCTCACAATTGGGCAAAATTGTCCCTCAAAGCAGTTTTTCTATAGAATTTTTGACTTTAACAGTATACCAGATATAACTGCAGTTCTAGGCTTTCATACTGTATATTGTTTTCAAGAGAATTCCAAATTTGGAAGGGTTTCCAAAGGGGAAGAGGGCGAAACCTCTAAAGGTTTAAGTGTCCAAGAGAAAATACACTTCAAACCCCTTCCCATATCTGAAGGCTATGAGAAGACGAAGAAGTCCTGATTAGTAATTAATCTTCAGCCTAATAATGCAAAACCCCAATTAATATGCTGGCGAGCTAAATGGCACATTCTAAAATTCTATATAAATTAGCTCTTAATAAACATTTCTGTAAGCCGTGCTAGTCATAGATATTATGGAACTTGCTTATAATTATTGGGGTGTTACAAATGTTTTAAATGCACAAAGAAGGAAATTTTAAGGTGGCACCCACCATTGGGTGCCATTGTCCCACGCGGAACATAGTGGCACCCACCGGTGGGTGCCATTGTCGTCAAAGGGTTAATTGTCAAACTGATTCAACCTAACCGAAAACTGAGGTGACGACAGTGTTGTTAAAAAAAATGAGTCATGAATCTGATAGCCGAAAAAGTTGAAGAAAATTTTACTCTCTGCTCGGCTTGCCTTCAGCATGCTGTTTAAGTTCTATCATGGCAGGCGAAAACATCTTGGTTGAACGCAAGCCCATGATCAAATTCGTGTGATTTTTGCATCTTGCTTTCCTTTCCACTTATAAATTATTCCACCTCATTCATCACTACTCAGCGCTTTTCAAACCAGTTTCATACCGAGGCAACCGACAGCCACAAAGGTGTTGCCCTGCATTGGAAGGACGGAAAGCCAATGAGCAACAAGCAGGAGTTGAGTGGATTTATTATAATTACCATTTCCGGATCTTCGTCCATCATCTGGTCGTATTCCGAAATTGCGATACAGAAGAAGATAGCACTGATACCATCGTACATTGTCGCCCATTTCCGACGATCAATTCTTTGGCCACCAATGTCGAATAATCTGCAAAATTCGATGTCATCTTGAAACGTATGTTTTCTGGAGAACGCTTTTCACACTGAAAGTAATTTGCTAGAGTCTAATCTTTTGCAAACCACGCTGCAAACCCTGCTGTCTTTGAATGGAAGCTTCTCCCCTACAAGAAATGTGACCACGAATTTTGAAGTGGTTTACCGCAGCAAGAAATCACTCTCTTACTTTGTGGAAGTAGATAGGTCACTCTTACGAAATCCCAACCGAAAACCTTGCGTCATATGAAGCTTCCCTTTTCACTCGCTTGAATCGACCCAAGCAAATCGTGCAGGGCGAAAACAACATCGCGCAAGATCAAATTGACGAAGCCGTAAAATCAGGAATGGGAATTCGTGACTGGTAAGCACAAAAACCACCAGACACCACAGACATCCCATAACTTATTTGAATAAATACCACAAGGATTTATTTTAAGGCGGTGGGTTATTGTCGGTGCACTA